ATCTGAATTTTTTAGAAATCAAGCTCAATATATATACAAATCTTTTCAACGTCTTAAATTTTTATTTTAGGACAATTCTAAAATTCTTTGAAGTCAAAGAATAAAGCAACAACAATGAATTTTAAGAATCAATAATTCATTTAAATCATGTATTTTATGACATTCTTGACTTTTTAATCACATATTGTATCAATTTTATTAACGTTTACTAAAAAATTAATTCTAACATGTAACATCACGTTTCATATACACTACCTATGATGACATGAAATTGCCCCGTCGTGAATCTAGATATGATTGCTCATTGATAAATGTTGAAGAAGAAAAGTCAAATAAAGTCCACTCGTGTGTCTCTTTTGTATCCACTGCCACACAGAATTTCTATCTCCTAAGCTGTCTTTTTAGACGAACTCCATAAAAGGTCAAAGCAATTCGCTAACCAATGCAATTTCATCAGATTCAAGCCTATACATCAACTGGATATCTGTCTATTTCTAAGTATTCTACAAATCTGCATCTGAATCAGCACGAGGAACAAGTAGAGGTATGTCCCCATTACCTCACATGATTTCAGTTACTTCAGTTGTCTTTTTTCTTGGCCTTTTACGAAATTTACAGTCAATACATGATCATGAACAAAATTTTCTTTTGCGGGGAGTATTTGTTTATTTCTCTTTCTTGATTGGCAAGCTTGTTTACTAAAGATCTTTGAAATGTGATAGTAGAATGATACTACGACGGTACATGTTTTTGGTAAACAGTTATAATCTATGGATCTTACTGAATATATGGACAATAAGTGGATAATACTTGTGATTTCTAAGAAAAGTGTGGATAAAAGATACATTTGACGAGAAGTGATTAAATTATAATTGTTGACCTAAAAAACACCTAACAACGTTCCCCCCTGCCCTTATGTTACCTGCATTTAACGACGGGGCAATTTCAGTCGTGGTACAACTTATGTACACTACCTATGATGACATGTTTATGCATATAAATACTTTTATCCTAAAAATAATATCATAAAACAACTAACAGAAGTTTACTTCAATATTAATGATAAATAAGAATTTTTTTGCATCTTCCTTCACTATTAATTCTCTTCAAGGT